AAAGTAAAATGTGTAAAAACAGTTTTATATTGAAGTACTGTGGCCTACAAATCCTGCTCTCCAGATAAAAGAAATGTTTGTTTGGTACAAATCCTAATAAATGTCATATGACTGTGGCTGTAATATTTTCTGAAGTGAAAATTAAAATTTTGATGCATTTCCACTAATTGTGAATCATATTGCAATATCTGTCAAAGATAATGGCAATATGATGGTTTTACAATATCGTGCAGCTCTACATCAGATAAATGGAGGAAAAAATGTCTGCTGAAGGCATTAGAAGATTATTTATTATTTTAATAAAGTAGGTATTCTACTCTGCATGAGTCTCCTGAAGGCAGATTTCATACAACTACAGCAGGAGATCTCACACTGACAGTTTTCTGTGATTTATACTCAAACACAAACAGTTGCCTATAAATTTTCTTCGTCAACTATTCGATTAATATTTTTCGTTTTGAAATGCATTTCATTTAACAATTGCGGACTTTATAGTGAATTTTTACACCAATAAATCAGAATCAAGCCAACAAATAAGAAGACTAAAAATAGACTTCACAAGTGCAATAATGTACTATTGTATATTTGTACTTTCAATCGACTATTTGATAATGTTTTTTAATAATATAATTTTGAAGCGTTTCATTTAGCAATTGCAGGCTTTACAGTGTATTTAGAGGAGGATGAAAGAAGAAAGTCTGCACGATAACATGCAAACTAGACTTCACGAGTGCAATTAATGTATTTCACTAAATCTGATTTTATATTCTTCTATTCAACCACAGAAAGCAACCACCTGTGCTTTTAGTTATAGGTGTATTTTATCATTATGAATTCCTTGTAATTTGTGTAGACTACATTCATGTCTATCAATATAACACACAATGTAACGGAATAAAATGCATTAATTGAGGAAAATACATATTTTATTTTTTTTTTTTAAGTATTTTTTTTGGCTTTTATTGCCTTTATGTTAGTGACAGCTGAAGACGGGAAAGGGGGCACTGAGCTAACCGGGCGCCCAAGAAAATACATATTTTTAATCAAAATGTAAAATCAAGTGTAGTGGGACCATTGTATCCTTTTGCATCTTGCAGTTTAGTATAACTGAACGTAGTGTGTTTGCCATTGTGCTGCATCACGATACATTTAACTCTCTTTAGGCATTCCTATAAAAAGTGCATCTTATAATTAACTTCATAAAACACAGACATCATATTTGGTTGATAAGGCCACGTGGCTTGTGCAAATGTCAGAGGTATTGAACCCAGTCATATCTCTAAAGTATCAACATACACGTATGTAGTGTGTGCACATGAAATGCCACGCTCTTCAATCATCGAAGATTTACTGTGCACACGGACTCATAAAAACCGTCTACTTTGGGAACACCCATGGCACAAAGGTGTAAGGTGTTTACAGGCAGACGGCCAAAATTTAAACCCTTCCCCACCTTCAGGTCCCCAACCCCTTCAAAAATCCTGTCTCCCTCCCCGCCCTCTACCTTGGCCAGTGTGAGGTGGTAGCGGGGGTTGTAGGAGTCCCTGTGGAGCCAGCCCTCCTGCCTGTAGGCCTCCTGCAAGCCGCTGTTGAGCTGCTGGAGGTGAAGCTGAGGCTGGGGGCTCAGGTACAGCACCTTCCCGTTGAAATGTTTCAGCTTCAGAGGGAAGGTCAGAGCCACCGGGGGGTTGCGATCCAAATAGGCAAACCGTCGGAGGACCTCCCCGGCAGCGGCTACCTCAGCTGGGCCGGCCAGCACCAGGAGGCACAGGGTGACATGAAGGCTGGAGGAGGTCTGCCAGTGAGGGGCAGAGGAGGGTAGAAGGGAGGTGAGCTCTTCCTGCAGCTGCTGGAAACAGGAGAGGATAGCAGGAGTGTTTGCCTTGAAGGTGATGAAGTGCGTGGGTCGCTTCTTAGGGGGGCGACCACCACACTTCTCTCTCTGCTCCAGAGGTGGACCACTCTGGCTGATGTTCTGGGCTCCGAGACCAGTCTGTGTGTAAGAGAAAAGGAACATAAAGATAATCACTGTGCTAAACAAGACGCTGATTGCAAAACAAGAATGTAAATCACGTTTAGTTGTCATGTACTCACCGAGGCGTCTTCATTGCCTTCCCAGATTTCTTGCCATTCTGCCAAAGTCTCTTCCTCAGCCTCCTCTTTAACGCCTGCTCCCTCTTTTTGCAGCGAGGATGTCTGGTCTGTTGAAGCCTTGAGTCTAAAATTAAAACAGTGAGTAAAATTACTCAAGAGGAAGGAGAGTATGTTGCAAGATTGCTTCTCTAGTCATACAACACAATATATACTGAATGTAAAACGTCTTGAAATAAAACTTAAATGCATTTTCTAAGTTCTACTCTTGTGCCTTTGTGTTGATTGCTCTGTTGTCTATTGCCATACACCAAATACAAGTTGAAAAAAATAAGCATTTTCACATCCAAATCTCTTATTTTTTTAATGACTCATCTTGAACTCAGGGGCGTATGCTTTTATGCTTTAGGGCGACTAGTTAATCTGCCATTATATAACTTGTGGGTTGTACTAGCTAGCAAAGCAATATGCCGGGGTCACACATGTTTATTTGGATGTCAGTTGACAAAAACTTTGTTCACACATCCTAAAGAGCGTGGTGGAGGATTCATTTATTTCTTTCATGTCCGGTCCTCTACTGCTCCATATTGTGACACCGTATTTGTTAAGCTGTGCACACTTTTCAGCAATTCAATCAAATGTGATTTGATTTAAATCATTATCTTCTTAATGTTTATTACTATTTTCTTGATTTATCGTTTTATCAATAAAGTGTCACTGTTCAGGTCTTCAAATGTTTTGTTTTGACCGACCAACAGTCCAAAACCCAAAGATATCCAGTTCACTATAATCTACGACGAAGAAATGCTTCAAATCCTCACATTTGAAAAGCTGGAACCAAATGTTTAGCTTTTGTTTCTTTAAAAATAACTAAACTCTTGTTTGATTATCAAAATGGTGGATTTATTTATTGATTAATCGATCTGATTATTGAACTCAAACACACCATTTTGTTCTGTTCAGGAGTTGCTACCTGTTCTCAGTTAAATCTGAAGGATGAACATGAACTCCAGACCTGACTGCAGCATCCTCTGTAACACATGCTCCTTGTGCTTGTTGTTGTTCCTGAGAAGTGTTTCCTTTACACTTTGGAGCTTGTGTTGAATCCAGGGTGTGAATAGTCATTTCACTTGGCTTCTCTCCCTCCAGATGTGTGTTCCCGGTATGAGTACAGTCCTCTGTTTCATTCTCTTCCTGCCCACGGACAGCAGGTGGCCGCTCTTCTGTTGGTTGAGGGAGGTCTTGTTGTTGCTCTTGGTCCTCTGTGTTTATTTCTTGTGAAAGAAATTATTATACTTGGTGAGTGTAAACTGTAGCGTGTCCTGGCTTGTGTAAATTTATGTATGTTATGTATGTAAGATTGTATCAGATTGTATGTGAGGTAGGGTAGCAATAAAGGGTCGTCTCTCACCCTTTACTTCCTCCTCCCCTCCAAAGGGGGGAGCCAGAGATTGACCGGTAGAGCCAAACACCCTGTCGGTCCTGCTGTGGCGGTCCCAGACGCGGTGCCCTCTGTAGGTGAAGTACTGGAGCCTATGTCTCGGCAGGGCCAGCTCAACAGTGTAATCACAGTCACAGGGGTTGGTGTCCCAATTGAAGTCATTGAAGGGACGCTCCAGCACGCCAAGGAAACGATCCACGTATCCCACTACAAACTCTGATGCATCCACTGACGGGTCCCATAGGATCCGAGAGATAACATCATCTGCTGTGCGCATGCGAGGCTTTTTGTTCACATCTGCAGAAGAGTAAGATATAAAAAAATATGTTAAAGACCTCTTAAGAGTATGTTGTCATTATCAGATGATGGGAAAGTAGCTAAATATGGAGTGACCTTTTGCCTCATATTTTGGCTTTGTTGCTTCGTTTACTTTCTTCTTGTGTTTTTCCATCTTTTCTCGATCGACTTTGTCATCCTCGTCAGGAGATACAGCCCCTGAATCATCTAGTGATGGGTCACTGAGGAACGAGAGCAACAGAAGTGGAAAAAATGTCAAATATGCACATGAAACATGACAAATGGAAAGAACCGATAAGTCTTATTCCCATTTGACACAGATTGACGGAGCATGTGTTAACTTGAATAATCTCTGCCTGGGGTGAAACATGAACAGCAACTGGCAACAATAGAAATAAAAAATTCACACGATATAATTCTCAATTTCCAAAGTTTCTCTATAACCAGACAAAACCAGCATCAAACATTCAGCAGGATCTATTGGTAGAAATGTAATATAATATTTATAGGTCTGTCTGTAGATAAGGCTGTTTGCTTTTTTTACACGTTTCGCAGCCACCATAGTTTGTCCTTCGTGCTTGGAAGGGGAGGTTAAGTTTCAGTCTAGATGCCACTAAATCCTGCACACTGCTCGTTTAACATTCAGGCAGCCATACATCAGCTTTTTGCAACATGTAGTTAAAGGATGGAGTCACATTTTTTTCAAGTCCGTCTTAAAACAACACTCACATGCCCCAATGTGCAATAAAAGAGTTATAGGTGGCCGGAACTGATACAGAAGTCATTTTTAAATTAGGACTTATTTTGAAATTGCTTTAAGAAGAGATCTCGAGAGAGAGAGAGAGAGGATGAACAATCACAGCGACAAATAATCACTGTACACAACAACATGCGAGTATATATATTAAAATTCAGGCAGCCATTTATTAAGTGCAGCAGTTACTAAAAATAAATGATGCACATGTCAAGAGTATAACTAAGCATTTAAATGTCATCCTTTATCCTGCTGGTGAGTTTGCTGAACAAGATAAGGCGAGCAGACCTGTGAGACAAACGGCATCTGTGGCCAAAATGACACTTTCCCATCAGGAAAAACTGGCACACGCTGACTTCAACCTGGTCTCGTTTTACTGACTCTGTCAATGAGAGAGAGACAGGAAGTGAGAATAGCCGTGACATACAAGACAGATGTGTAATTAAACTGGAATGAAAGCCTGTAATGACAGTGAGCAGACTCTCAATATGGACTCTGCATTTAAATGAGATTAACATTTCCAGAGGTCTGCCTGGCCCATGATTCTGCTCCAGTATGTTGATGTTGTGTCTCTTATATGAGCCGCCGTGTCAGTGAGATATGCTCACACGTCAGGAAATATCTTGTCTTTTCCCAGATTCTTTCTGATCCTCATCTTTAGCAGGTCTGATATTGCACTTAACAATTCAAATCAAAAATAAATCTGCGATAAATCCACAAATGGCAGTGGAAAATGTCTGCTTAACACTGTATTTCCTCTCCAATACACATCCCAAGAGTATAAATCATGTAACAGGTGGCAATGACTCGACCCAGAAGACTCAAATGTCAGCCAAGTAGTTGGGACGTGGTTGCCTGTAAACTCAAACTCATACCACACACCCTGTAATGCTATTTCCAGATAGGGGAACTGGAAGTGACTCATGGCCCAAATCCTTTATTATTAGATGCCTTTTATCCCACTGAGATAGCACTGGCTGGGGCAGGTGGGTCAGATAATGTCATGACCACTCATCACTGCTGTCTGACTGGAAGTAACTGTATGAAATAATAATTCTGATGTGTCTTGCCAACGTTATATCTGGCTTTGAGCCCAGTGAGACAACTGTAAGTGCATGCAAACAGTGAATGTTTTCTCTGGTGGTTGGAGCCGACATCGTTCTTGACTCACTTCCTGACTCCTGACATATTTTCAGCGGAGCGGTCCGGCATGAAGTCAAAATGTTGGCAGTCATTACACTATTCCCCTCATCTTCAACCTCCCCCTTTCCAGGGTAAGCTCCAGCAACAAAATAAGTAAGACCTTACCAGAAGTCAAAATGCTCTCAGTAACACAGAATTGTATCACAGAGGGAGGAATGTGATCACATTCCTCCCTCTGTGAAGGGAATCATTTTATCCCTGAAAAATGAATGAGAGTGATTTCAGTAATATGAGGTCTTACCTAATAGCTATATATTGTCTCAAAGGAAGTTGATCCACCTGATAAACAGAAAACAGTTACTGTGTGTGAAACTACACACAGTGATTTACCTGCTGTGGTGTCTTTGTCCCTGTTGGGCTCAGCGGGGACCCCTGCCTCTGGACTGGAGTGGGTCCCATCATCTGTCTGGTCCTCATGTGGACCTGAAGGCACACTTAGTCCGTCTGATGCCATACTCTGCGATTTAAGAGACAATTTTACTACAAATAAATCCGCTGTGTCACTGTAATGTCTGCTGCTATACCTTTAGCGTTGTTTCACTTGACAGAATGACAAAGTAAACCTGTAAAAAATCAAATAAAAACATTCCTAAAACAATAAAAAAAAAAAAAAAAGTCTAAATGTAAATTAGATCAGTTTACCCAGTGCGGAAGTGGTTGTTAGCGACAACAAACAAACGTTTCACAAACTTTGTAAATGTAACAACCGCTAAAATAATTCTCTTAACCTTTAGATAATTCATTTACAACATAAAAACGTTTTTAAAAATCCCCTGGACAATATTTATACAGCTTTTGAAATACCAACCGAAGCAGCACACGACTCTGTTTTTTTTTTTTGTTTTTTTTGTGTGTCGCCCTTTGACCCTGAGTTTGTTTACTCACAGGGAATGATGGGTAATGTAGTTTTTAATTTGTCTTTCGTCAAATAAAACGCCTCTGCTGAAACATTAAATAAAATTCGATACCAGCAAACAAACCTGTTGTTTTTTTTTTTACTTTCTTATCGCTCAATAAAACACTTGATATATTTTAGATTAAACGGTTAAAATTAAGAAAAAGTGGCGCCGCTAACTGACATACGTCATCGGTGCTGGAGCGCGTGACTCTGAGTCACATGACACTATCTGTTGTTGCTAGTGAGCTACGGCACAAAACAGAGCTAGAAAGTAGTTAAGTTATACAAAACTGAGACGGCTGACAATCATGGACTGTTGAAAAACGGACTAAATGAAGAATTGAAGCACTGTTTTAATATGCCGCTTTTTATGTAACGGCTTTCTGAACGTTGCGGCCAATGAATGTCCTTTTGTGAAGGAGCACCAGTCATGTATTGAACTTGTGCTGAAGGTAAGATTATCTGATGTAATCAGCTGTAATGAGCATGTGTTAACCCCAGTGTAAGCGAGTACATGTTAGTGAATGACCAGAATCAAATGTTATGTTATGAACTGCTTGTTCATGCTCAATTTGACCATGTCTCCCCTTCAGATGAATGCTCTGGTTGCTCTCTGTCACTTCTGTGAGCTCCATGGCCCTCGGACGTTGTTTTGCACCGAGGCTCTGCACCCTCCATCCCCGTCCCCTTCATCCCATGCAGGTGCCCCAGTGCCTGGAGACAGGGACCGTGATGGTGACCGGGAGGGTGAAGGGCTGACCATGAGGGCCAACAGCTCGGCCACACAGAGAGGAGAAATGTGTGATGTGAGTGACACAGGCTGAGGACAAAATGTCAACTTCAGTTCACTTATCACAAACTCAATGTGTAGTTCCCTCCACATTACAACACTCTAGCTTAACTTTTTACTATGAAGGTGAGCCCATAGAGTTGTCATCATCAAAGTACTCATTTTTCTCTTCTCGTCTCCTCACAGGGATGTCGCTCTCTGCCTGCGTCTCACCCGGGCTTTGTGAGCATTGACGATGAAACAGGCATTCGCTTCCTGAGCCACCAGCATCCCAGACAGTCACAGCTGTTCAGCGTGGTCCGCCAGGCCTGCGTACGCAGCCTCAGCTGTGAGGTAAACAGTGACGTACGTCTGCATGTATGAGTGTGTGTGTGAGTCACGCATCTCATGCACTACATAAACCTAACTCAAGTGTTCTTATTCCTTTGTTTGGTCTCTGTCGTTATCGCCAGGTGTGTCCCGGACGTGAAGGGCCAATTTTCTTTGGAGATGAGCAACACGGTTTTGTGTTCTCACACACCTTCTTTATCAAAGACAGTCTGGCCAGGGGCTTCCAGCGCTGGTATAGTATCGTCATGGTAGCAATGGACAGGATCTACCTTATTAACTCCTGGCCCTTCCTGTTACGCCACCTCAGACTCACTATACAGAGCCTGCAAAGCACAGCCCTCAAGGTAGGGTGTGCCTTTTATTTAGTTTATTCAAACAGACTGATTTTACATGCATATATATTAGTTCACTTAATGTCTTCATACTCTTTTCTCCATCAGGTCTTTGACAATGAACAAGGAGTTTGTCCCCAGCGAGCGGTGAGGATGAACAGTGTGTTCTCACCTGCAGTTTTCCCTCACCAACGGAGTGGCAACGCAGCCCGATCACTAACTTCTCTTACCCAGCACCAGAATCTCTGGGCCAGCCTGCACTCCTCATTTAGCTGGTGAGTTGATATGTTGTCAGTCCCACTATGACACACTAGTTGTTGTCTATCCTCGTGTAATCTCTCACCTTGACGTGTGGTTTCACATCATCTCCAGGCTGCTGAAAGCCTGTGGGAGTCGCCTGACAGAGAAGCTGCTGGAGGGAGCCCCCACTGAGGACACACTGGTGCTCATAGAGAGACAGACAGGTAGACACATTGTCTTTAGACAGGATTATATTTTAACTATCCTGTCATGGAAACCTTTTTATCAACCAATCTCACCACCTGTTCAAGCCTGTAACTGAGTAAAAGCTGAAGATGGGGGATGCCCCAGTTGCTCACCTGGTAGACTGCGTGCCCCATATACAAAGGCTGACTTCTTACTGTTGTGGCCCCCCCAAAGAAAAAAAAAGAAAATGGAAAATCATTTACTTTGGCAGAGTTTCGATGTGGCTTGCCTTCCAGGCAAGGTTTGGTCTCTTGGTGGGGAGTGATATCAGCAGATGTCATGTGTTTGCACAATGTGCCATGGTATGGTCATCAGTCTGAAGAGTCTGCTGTTAAAGTCTGATTCACTGTGTCAGCCAGTGCGGAAACACTCTGGCCAGAAAAACAAAGTGATTCACATTCAAACAATTATACTCAAATCCACTGGACAAGAACTTTCACAATTTTTAGTAAAGATTGAGAAAGTGATTAAAAGATTTAGATATTTCCCAGTCCAGTGCAGCTCTTGTGGAATTTTAACACCCTGTTCTTTTATACTGATGTTGTAACAAAGTAATAAACTTCATTTCTGTAACAATTTTTAAAATTACAATCAGCAAATGATTAACAAATACATAGAAATTACAACACAAGAAAATAATAATAATAATTAAAGTCATCAATTATAAGTAATAAAAAAGTTTTTTAATGTAGTGCGGACTACAGGAGGAGCAGTTTTGTTTTCAGTTACATGATATTAGTGTAAATCTACTAAATTAGTCACAGATAAGAAATGAGATTGTACACTAGAACTAGAGGTTGTGTAGCACATCAGACTATATATGGAGTATGATACAGAGACGGCACTTTGTAATAGTTTCCACCAAAAATCCCCTGATTTGAAATAACCCTCGGCTTGAAAACATTTGGTCATTGTTTTTTCCGTTCTTATGTCATTCTCTGTTTCCAAAAGAGCAAGAGGAGGAAATGAGCTGCTGGCAGGGAGCCGAAGGAGGCACTTCACAGTTGCAGCGGCCCCCATCGGAGAATGAGCTGCGCCACGACTTCCTGTCTGATGATGCAAAATTAGATGAATTACCTGGTCCCAAATTTAGGTCACTGAGGCATTTGAGACAGGTAAACTTGGCTACTTTTTGACATTTAGGTGTGCATAATTATATATAAAAGGGGAGATAAAAAGCTACAGATGGTAGTTTTTGCAAGAATTTACAGTTTTATGGCATTAATCTCTAAATACATTTAAGCTCATTCACATATTTCCATTAGCAGATTAGCATTATCTGTGAGCTTTTGTACATTACAGTCCGATTTGTTCTGCAGGTCCTCGGGGCGGCTGAGTTTCGTCAGCTAGTGTGGCATGTGCTCATGGGAAACCAGGTCATATGGAGAAGCGCGGACCCCGGGCTCATCCAATCAGCTTTTACAGTGCTCAAGGTACTCGACTACTGCGTCTCTTTCTGCCTCGTTAGGAGATATGGTCGTTATGATGTGGGTAAACAGTGATAAGACCAGCGAGGGTCCTCTTAAGTTGAGCCATGGTATAACTAATGTGTGCAGTGCTGTATAACACTGTTAGTTTGTTACACTCATCTAACGCTAATCCTTTCATGTTGTCGAGGTTTTTTATGAAATATGGTTAAATAAAAATGACTGATACCTTCTTTGAATCTGATAGAAACAGATCATATTTGGTTTCAGTTATTTCTCCATAAAGATCAAATTCTTGCCTAAAGACATGTTGTTTATGCTAACATTACACACCTCGAAATTTGCCTGTACATGCTTCCCTGATCGTTCTATGCAACAAGACAGAGCCTGTAACTGTTTTCATTATAGAATTATTGTTCCATTTTACTGCTGAAAGATATGTGAGTCTAATGCTTTGTGATAATTTTGATAATGTTTTTTTGTAATTCTTGCAGATTACAATTACATTGTTGCATGTTTCCCCGGCCTTTTTCACTTGTCATAGCGGGAAAATTGCCCAGGTGTTACTAACAACGATGGCTTTGTTCCATTTAGGTGTTGCAGTGAGTCATGAAAGTCACCCCACTCAAAGCAAATTAACTGTGATCTGTATCTGGACAAGTTACTGAACAACCAGATCTTGCCTTTGCCTTCACACGTGGTATTTTTAAAGCGTTTCGTTATCCTCCTTGAGGTTGGATCTCCGCTCTCCAGGAAAACCTGCACAGACATAAAACTGTTTTTTGAGTTGTTGAGTTAAAGGAAACTTTTTAAAAGACAAATCCTTAATAATTCTTCTAAATTTAGCAAATGTAATGTAAGTTATTCCTTTATTTGTATAAAAATGTTGTGTCGGTTAGATAAATTATATACCTTGTTAACAGCTGCACAAATATACCTTACTGTATATCGTTCATATACACAACGTTCTGATGATTAACTTGCCTTTTTTAAATTTTTATGTTTTCATGGCACAGAATAGATGAATAATCAGTAATTAGGGGCTTATCTCTTTCAGTCTTAAGTCGCTCTCTCACCCTTTAAACAACCTATATTTTATGTTAGCAAAGAACAAATATCTGTATCAGTGTTGTATTGTGTACAGATGGCAGGGCGTTGTACAGATTGCGTTTGCTTCTACTTAAAATCCAATGCGAGCCAGATGTGGTCAGGCAGATCTGATTGTATGCATTTACACCTTGAATTATCATGTGTTTTTCCTTATCTGGATAACGTGTCCGGATTAGGGCAGCACACTTTATCCAAATGTTATTTTATGTGCCATTTCCAAATCACAGAAGCTGCAATTCTTTATAAAAAATCAGCATTATAATGAAGTACTGTAGCGCTGGCCTACGGATGTAAGAAAACATGTTTGTTTGTTACAGACCTGAACAACAAGTGTCACATCATCATGACTTTTCTTTTTTTTTATTACTATTAAAATTGAGATTCCTACTAACACATATCATCACAACATGTCACGTCTGAAGCAGCTAAATGGAATTCAGCCATAGAAACGCTGAGTGGGTGAGCAGGGCAATTAACATGCTCAGTTAGCCAAACATGGTTATAATCTGAATCTCTGTTTCCCATCAGTCTTTGCTGCCAGTAGGCTGTGTGCGTTCTGTGCCATACAGTGCTCAGTATGAGGAGGCCTACAAATGCAACTTCCTGGGTCTCAGCCCAGATGTGCCTATTCCAACCCACGTCAGCTCCTCAGGTACAGGAGAGTCTGGACTGTGATAGATGTATGAAATCTGCTGTAACAAACTGTAGGCTTCTGCATGCTGGTCATATTGTGTTTATTTTACCTTCCTTTTGTTTGTCCTGTAGAGTTCTCAGTGCTGGTGGATGTCAGTTCAGAGAGAAGCTGTCAGATCTCAGTTCTGGGTGAAGATGATATCTCTTCACTTTATCAGTTCACCATCAGCAGTGCCAACACACAGCCCACAGACAGGGGTGAGCACACATACCTGGATTTGTTATAAATAGCCACTGTAGGTTTGCTGCCACTTTCAATTTCAAATAATACACAGGCCTTTGCCTCTTGGTTAGAACCACAGAATTAAAGAGTGCATGTCTTTCCAATGTTCTGCTGAGTTAAACTAATTACTTAATTTTAATTCATCACAGAAAATGTTTTCGACTATATACATTTTTTTTTTTTTTTTAATCTGAATCCGCATTGAAATACACAAAGAATGTGGTCCTCTTAACCCTGATTCTTATACGGGCCAGATTTCTTTGTCATTTAAGTGAACCAGACACAACATGTCTTATCCCACAACGTTGTCCTTAAAATACCTGGTTCTGCTTTTTCTTTTTTTTTTTTCAACTGATCCGTTTCTTGGCCCATAGCCTATCTCTCCACCAAATCTTTTTCAAAACTGTTCTTCCAGAACGTTACGAGTTACCATTTAGGTAAAAGGTCCCCAAAAACATGATGGTGGGTATTTAGCAGGAATTACGTGGGGGTACAAAGGGTTGTACAATAGAATAATGATCATATGATGAACTCTCCTTTCACAGGTCCCACGTTATTGAACAAGCTTGAGGTGGCCCTGTCCAATGAGAACTTGTCTGTGGACGTTGTGTCTCACTGCCTGTTGTGTCTGAAGGAAGAGTGGATGAAGTGAGTAAAATCCTTTCAGTCTTAATGAAAGACCACCTGAGTGTATGTAAGATCTAACCATTTTGCATATGAAAGCCTTCTCAGAGCGGATTCTCTCTCTTTCAGTAAGGTCAAAGTGCTGTTCAAGTTCTCCAAAGTGGACGGGCGAGGGAGGGAGGACACCCAGAAGGTTCTGGCCCTCCTTGGCGCCACTGGGCCGGGCGAGGAGGACAACGTCAGGCTGCTCAAGTTCTGGATGACTGGACTCAGCAAAACCTACAAGAGTCATTTAATGACAGCCGTCCGAGGAGGGGAGAGGAGCCCCAGCCAGTGACAAAGAGGAATGAAGAAAGAATAGGCGGTTGAGGGGTGAAGAAAGGGGGGGCTGAAACAAGAGAGAAATACTAAAGAAAGGAAAGTGAAAGCAAGAATCTTTCCATTATCCATTTTGCTAACTGTTAGGGACTTTTAGTGGAATGAAAGAGGAATGTAAATGGATGAAAAAAATGCTTTGGCTTATCCATTATTGTCTTTTTAAGTAATGAGAAATCTACTGTTCCTAACCCTCCAATATTATTCTGCACAGATTAACACGTTCAGTCAGTTTGGATAATGTAGGAGACTTTTGTTTGTCAAAGGGAATTATTGTAAAAGACCTCAACATACTTATGTGAAGTTTAACTTATTACAATTAAAGACTTTGCACTTTGTTTACTCGTTTACTGATGTTTTTAAATTAAATAAATTAATGTGAACTTAATCACTTAATCCTTTTTTTTTTTTTTTTTCCACAATTGGCTCCATCTTGTGGCGAACAGGAAGAATAAAGAGGGAGTGAATTGGAGGAGAGCAGAAATTCCCTGCCTGCTACCACTCACTTGTTTGACTGGCCGACAGCCAACAAGTCTCAAGTGGTGTAAGACAACACTTTTAAGGTTTTTCTGGTGTCCTGAAATGTACAAAACGGTTGCATAACAGCCTCGCTCCGGGAGTGGCCGAACCACATCAGCAGGATTTTGGCTTCTTAATGAGCCAGTCGCACACTGATCCACTAAAAAGCTGAGGGTCTTTTTTTGTTCGTGCCAGTTATTTGAGCCTGTTGCTTTGCTGAAGCTTGCAGACTTCAGTCAATAAAAGTCAGCAACATAAGGCTTTGTTTAAATTGAAAGGCTGCTTTTTTTTTCTTGACCGATACCGTGTAGATATTGTGCAAAAAAAGTTTCAAATGAATTAAAAAAGGAAAAAAACGAATTTGTAAATATTAAGATTACTCTGGCTTTCCCTGTAAAAATGAATCTACTTCTCAACATTGTTTGTATGCCCCAGTGTCCTAATAGAGGTTTTTTCATTGTTATGCTTTTCTCTGACTAACTCAAATCTGGATTTCATTTTGCAAGTTTTACTAATAGAAGCACAAACCTCATTTGCAGCAGCTCCACAGATTAGTTACATGTTAACTTCCCTTTAACAGGCGATGTATGAAACAGGAAGACAGCACAGTGACTGGATATTTATACCCGTCATTAAAACACAGTATAGGTGAAGAGGTTTCGAGTTGATGATGCCTCGGGGAGTGTTATAGTACATTGCTTGCAGTGAGGCTGTTGCTCTCTAGCCTCCTTTTTCACTCTAGGGAGATTGGAACAGGGAAACTAGTCTTGCTTCTTTTGGCTTATGTTCAAAAAAGGACACATACAAGAACAATTCCTCTTTGACTCAAAGAAACAACTTTGCACTTCCTTCCTTTCATTAGTAATTAGGTCCTCTCCTGACATCTAAACCAAAATAACACGATGCTTCACATAACCTGAGGGGACAGAACAACACCACCACAGACAGGATAATGACAGCTGTGCACAATTTCAGACGTCACAATCACACCATCCATTTCTGTGGAGACGATTTTAACAGTAATGGTTACAGAAAAGCTGTCCCACATGCAATGACTTGCAAGTTGCAACGATGAAGTGTCGCAATCCTCTTTGTCAAATTTTCAAGGAATGTGATTCTGTGATTTATTTAGAAAATAAAAAAAGCAGAAAGATCATGTGACGATTAAACAGGATGATGTTGCGCATTGACTTGATGGATCCAAAGCACAGAGGTGTGGGGGAGAGTCCAAATGAAAAACATACGCTCCAACTGCATGACTAAGCCTCCTTGGGCCTGGTTTGGATGGTGGGGGTGGTGGGGGTGAGAGGGTGGGGGTCAGGGAATGTGGGGAACAGGGGGGAGGGGGCCGGGTCAGTCAATAGTGAGGTAAAACGTGTGGCAGTGGGAGGGGCCGAGACTTAAAGGGAGCAGACAAGCAATCCAGCATAGCACTTTCACTTTGAGCCGAGTGAGGATACACAGAGTGGTCAGAGGGAGAGATAGAGAAGAGGAGGCCAGTGTCTCTCCCGCTTTATCCATTAACCAGTTTCGAGGGAGAGAGGAGGGATTCAAATTAGACTGTTCAGGAAGATTCTAGGTCAGTAGGGAGAGAAAGGGAAAGGGAAAGAGATATAGTAAAAAACAAAAAACAAAAGCTTTCAAAGGGAAAGGCTGCAGTCACTCAGGCTTAAGTGGGAAAATCCAAAGTGAGAGAGCAGGATGGCGTGAGAGGATAAATGAGGCATTTTTTTGGAAAGTACCAAAGGAACTCAAAAGGAAGGAACGTATAAGGGATGTCCAGAAGGAGACTAAATATCAAAGCGTGAAGGAGAAGACACGGCAGCGTACTCTGTGTCAAAGACCTCAAGAAACTTTGCTTTTCACAGACTGACACAGAAACCCGTCTGCAGAGTGATTGCCGTCAACAAGAGAAATGGAGAAATGTCCATTCTTAGAAAGATAAAAGGATGTCACTGCCAGGTGAGAAACTAAAGTTTATGTTAATGTTTCTTTTTTGTGTGTGTGCAAACTTTCTTTTTCAAGTATGTGGGAAAATAACAACTATTTATAGTCAATTTTAATAATTTAATTTAATTTAGATTTGCTGTGTCACTTTGGACTGTTACAATAGCATTTCCGGTGTCTAAATTGAATTAGAGCTGTTGCAACAACAGACCAGTTTTCATGTTTTCTGCAGAAATACCTAATTGAGGCAGGAAATGATGTAATGTGTCTTAGTAGGTATGCAGTTTGAACAAGCTACAAACCACAGAAAGTTTCCAGCAATTAACTGAATGTTCTGTCTCTTTGTCCTTCTTACTCATGCTTCAAACAGTTTTGCTCTTGCTATTACTCTTGACTGTCCAATGCGGTGGATGTGGCTTTGACTGTGAAGGTGTGAAAAACATTAAAAGAACTATCGACCATAACCCAACTGGATTTGTAAGTTTAAAGAGTTTGTTCATCTTTCTTTCTTTTTTTTAATCCTTTTTATGTTTTCAAAGTGAAAAGCTATGTAGGAATGACGTTTTTCTTACCAAATGTAGTTTACTATGCTTTAAATAATAACTTATTAATCACCCTCTGTACAAAGAGATGGTCAAAGGTGAAGATCATAATCAGCTCTATCTTGTCATCTGATGACAGACAGTGTTTACGACTGACGTGCATAGTTCTGCTAAGTTTAGGAAATCAAACATTGTGTAGCTGTGGTTAGTTGCTACTAATGTGGGTAGTTTTCTGCATAAATTATTAATCACATAGTTACAGTGTGTATGTATAGTTATAGTATATTAATCATCAAAATAAACATTGCATATTTCATCAGCTGAGTGTTTATTCTCTTATTTTTATTTTGTTTTCTCTTCCAGCGGACAGTATTCCCTAAAGATTACTATGTAGTGCACCACTACACTAAAAGCATGCTGTGTGACACTGATCCGGTGAGTTCCTTATCAGATAAAAACGGGAAGTGGAGTTTGATGTGCAATAAATGAGTCATACAACAATCTCTTCAGCTTTGTGCTGAAAGACATTTCAGTATCTTCAACAGGATAATCATTAACTTCATCTTCAACCTTGTAAATGTTCAGTTTAGCAAAACATTGTTGTACCATGAATTGAGCAATTGATGTGGTTCTTGTGGTGGTTTGTCACGTGTGTTTTGCACAGTAAATCTAACTTTAGGGTTGTTGTGCTGCTCTACCTTTTCCCTGCAGTGTTGTGTGTTTCCTGCTGCAGTAGTCCTCTTGGAGTCTTGGCATGTGCTCCTCAGAAACCTCTGGGACGAGCACTTAAATCACTCCCTCATCCTCGATCTCAAGCAGACACTGGACAGGATTATTAGCAGGAACAAATATACAGGGGTAGGCTTTTGTCTCAGATACATCTAATCAGAATACCTTTATATTATATGTCTATCTCTGGTTATGTAACATGTGATTCCTTACTGCATTCTTTTCATTTTTGATTCAAACATTGATTGACGTACAGGCGCATTAATAAGAGCTCCTGGAGATTTTGTGTCTTTGTTTACTGTCTGTTGTAAATCTTTAATTTCTCCTGTGCTTCCTTCTCACAGAAGTTCCAGGAGGAGACGGACCTGGACAAATTCTCCACATTACATTCCTCTCCTGAAGAACTCCTCAACCTAACATCAGAACTTTTTGCTCGATGGCTCCAGGTCGAGAGCTTACCCTCTATTGAAACTTGCACCCTGCCAACTTTGCCCCCCTCTGTTGAGAGAAAGGACTACGGCCCCTCGAGGGCCAGACTCTTGACCACCCGAGCTATCAGTGCTACAGAGGATGAAGGACAGCCTGACAGGATGATAGACATTACACAGCCGCTGTCCAACGGTGGCCCTCCGTCCCTATCGTATTACGCTTCTGTCTGGAGCCCCTTGCTATTCAGACTCTACTGGTGGTTGTTGCCATAGTTACAGACAAAAAAAAAAGGATCTTTTTCGATGATGCACACAAAATGCAAGACATTTCCTGGCACTGAATGTTTGTTTTCTCTATATTTGTGTGTTTGTGTGTCAATGCGATAAGCTTTGTTAATATGAAGTGACATGCACCGGTTGCATTTAATGTCCAAAGTTAGTCCACATAGCTACGTTCACTGTCAACAGTAACAACTGATATCACACATATAAATAAAACGTATAGTCATCCTCTCTCTAGAGCAAGCCACGAGCTCCAGCTAGCTATGCTCTTTATGCTAACAAGAGATAAATGCTGAGCAAGCCAATGCACATAAGCCGTCGTCTGTTGATGTGGAATTCATCACTGTTTACAATGAATGTTACGTAAATGTAAGAGATTATAGTCTATGGGTGTTTACTTTTGTACATAATTGTAAATTAAAGACATTTAGATATATACATTGTTAGTTTTTGGTTTAACTCACCAGGATATAATACACCAATGGTTGTAAGCTATATTTATTGTGGTCTTTGCTGTGTGTCAGTGATGGAGTGAACTGTACTTCAGTACAATTTTGAGGTACTTGT